GGATGCATGCATGTATGTACGTATGTATGTGTGTGTATGAATGAATGAATGAATGTATGTATGTATGTATGTATGTATGTATGTATGTATGCAAGTATGTATGTATGTTTGTATGTATGTATGTATGTATGCATGCATGTATGTATGTATGTGTGTATGTATGTATGTATGTATGTATGTATGTATGTATATATACATGCCTGTATTTTTGTATGTATGTATGTATGTATGCATGCATGTATGGATGTATGTATGTATGTATGTATGTATGTATGTAGGTATATATGTATGTATGTATGCATGGTTGTATGTTTGTATGTATGTATGTATGTATGTATGTATGTATTTTGTATATATATATATATTTATATATATATATATATATATGTATCCTCATTTTATTGCAATAAGGTTATTGATGGCGTTGTATACTTTTTCTCATATTGGTCATTTGGCTCAATGGTTGCAGAAGGTGTACCTAACGAACACGAGAAAGTAATGATGAATCAGATTTGGTCACCAAATGATTTTACATCGGAAGAATCTTTGAATACGTTCCTGCGCTCACTCACTCCTCCTGTGGGGAAACTGAAACTCTCCCAAGCTTTTGCACTCTTGCATCTATGTGACGGAGATACCACAAGAGCTGTTCAGATCGCCCAAACACTCGCCCCCACGACCAAACCATGGACCAAGGTTAGTTCAGCTGTTTATTTTGAAAAGGAGAAATCAAATTCAAACAAATTTTCTCGCGCACTGGATATACATTGTTTGGGATGAGCTCGATGTTTACCCTTTTATTTCTTCCTTTTTTTTTCTGGCACGATAAACACTTATGCGTTTTCAGGTCCTTTTTGTGACAATCTGTACTGAAGAATATTGCAAATTTACATTCCATTTTGTAGTTGGATGAGTCTTTGTTCAGCACAGGCAATAGGAAATTCGGGAAGGATTTCAATCGTATCCAGCGCCAATTTCTGCCATCTCGAACAGTGAAGGAAATAGTGCGGTATTATTATCAATGGAAACGCGACCTCAAACGCCAGAAGATTGATGCGGACCATAACACAGAGTATTTTGGCCGGGACAGGGGCAATTTTCTGGGTTATTCCGGGGCTATCATGAGGAATTTCGTCGATAGGGCTGATACAACCCTGGCCTTCACCCCGTTGATGGCTGAGAATCTGCGCGCCCTCCACTTAGAGCAGATTTTCAACAAGCAGAACAATGTGGGTTCTGTATCTGATCTCAGCATCTCATGTTCAGCAGTGGATGCGAGGGATAATGGAGAAGACACGATCATGGAAGATGCCTTTCCTTCCAAAGCCGCACAGAATCAGAACAGAGACATGGTGGGAGGCGGCGATGGCATCAAAATTGAGGCTTTACCTTATTTAGCATCGTCAGGTAGCAGTAGTGCACAACTAACTGCCGATGTAAAACCCGTACTTGATGTGTCTGGTGTTTTGTTTAACGCACCGGATGTAAGCGTCGGTAGTACCGCCGTACAACCACCTCCAGATCGGGATGTTATGATGCAGATCAACGAAGTTGGCCAAGACGGGTTACAAGGCCTTTTAACCCAGGCACTGGCGAACACACAGGTCGATTCCAGCTCTGACAAAGATGGTATGCAATTCTCTGCCGAGGGTGCCTGTATAGATATGTCGGAGGGGAGGGGAGCCTTGGAGTTGATGAATCAAGCCGATGCTCTGTCGTATCGCAACCAAGCACCCGAGCGGCCAAGTGGATGTCGAAGCGTTGACAGTATCGCGCAGTTTATGGTCAGAGCTGGCAGTCCGCGGCTGTGTGCAATGGATACACAGTCGCTTGGTACGCGCACACCTGTCTATGTACAGGGCCTTCAACAGGAAGATCCACACAGTTCACAGAAAGTAGATCGAGCGAGTAGTCTGACGGATCTTACTAGCCTCATTTCCACCGGGATGAAGTCTGCCAGTAATCCGATCGTAGCCACCGCCAGGCAACCTTTTACCACCGATGACGCGGATATCGCACGACCTTGCGTTCGCGTCGCAAGTCAGAATTCGGTCATGATGAATGCGGAGCCGGCCGAAAACCCACTCGGTTCGAATGATGCTGAGATGGCCATTGAATTAACCCAAAGCGAATCATTGCCGAGCGATGCAATGTATACCAACCAATCTCATAGCTCCTTTGCTGCTCCTGCATCATCGGTACCTTCAAGTCTGCGGGCTGGTATTTCAGATTCAGGTCCCGCATCGATGCCCGAATTGGGGTCTATGATGCAAATGGGGCAGAATTCGATCCACGCGGCAGGTGTATCACAGCAATCACAGCAGCAGTATGCGGCAGTGGAAAGCTCACAGTCAAAAACGAATGTCTTGCAGACCCAGCACTCACAGCCATCTACACCAACAGACATACCTCGGCAACCAGTAGAAACACTTTCAAACCAAGCGCAGCAGTCGCAGGCAATGACAATGGCCGCCTCAACTACCGCACCAGTAGCCACGACCGGTCGCAATGCGGCGATGCTCGAAGCTATGTCTGAAGTCAGCAACAAAGCTTTAGCTGCAGCCAGTGCATCTGTACCAGTTGTTGCGGCAATGTCGGTCCCCGATGCCCTCGCAGCAGCAGCTGCTGCGGTCGCAGTGCTGCCAGTGGTCGGAGATACGATACAAATGCCGCCCCAATTGACGCGCGACGATTTGGCGGAGCTCACCCCCACAGCTATCACGATAAAGAAAAGACAAGCGGCTGCAGCGGAATTGGCCACTCAGAACGGCACGCAAGCAACGGCTGAGGGCGCTACCACGGATGCCCCAGGCTCCAAACCAAAGACCAAGAGAAAGAAGAGCAAGATGGACGGAGTCGACGACCGAGTGTGCGCAGTTTGTACAACGACGAAAACCACCCTTTGGAGGAGAGGTCCCGAAAGGTGTGTTTTCGTTTCTGTGTAGTCCCCATAAATCTTATATTATTGATGATCGGATATGTTTTTACTGATATGACTTTCTGTTTAACACGCGCATTGGCTCGATTGGTGCGAGTTGCCAATACCCACCTGTACGCCATCTTACATGTCTGCTATCAACTTTACAGGTCGACAGTGTGCAACGCCTGTGGCATCCGCTACCGTCAAGAGCTGAAGGCGAAAACACAAGCACAACAACAGGCACAAATGCAGATGCAGATGCAAATGCAAATGCAATTGCAGATGCAGCTGCAAATGCAATTGAATGCTGGCGGTGCTCAACCAATGGCAGCAGCTGCTACCCACCCTGTCGCGAGTACACAGCAGGCAATTGATATGAGCGCGCCCGGGGCTCCAAGCATATTCCCTGCAGACGGGGGTATGACAGCCCCAAGCCTTAGCCAGGCTGTCACTGATATACAGCCAACAGCGGGAACTTTTACAGCCTCTGCACCAGAAAGTACGAAGAATTCAAGCAATGTATCGCCGCAGGAGAAGGCAACGTCATCGGACAGGATGGACACTAGCGGGTTGGATACATGTAGCGCAGCGCAACAGCAGGCCCAAACGATGCCGGCCGCGAGTTTGCTTGCCAATATTATGCCCGGTAGTATTACCAGCAACGTCGTGGGTCCGAAAAGACAACTGAAGGCTGCGTCCTCTTTATCGACCAGCAGGCCCCGCGCAGCCAAGACTATCCAGTCACAGCTTCAACAGCAACCCCAGCAACAGCTTCTAGCAAAGCACCAACGCCAGTCTAGTGCGACACGGAATATGGCTTCCGTTCCCAAACAAGGTTTGCAAGGCAATCCCGAACTCGTCTCAAACGATAACAATATAGGGATGCCCCTTGCTAGTAAACGTACGTCTCAGGGGCACTTGGAAGTCCAACCGTCTCTGTTCTCCAACAGTGCTTCCCCGCAGATTAGTATGATGAACACGGTCATGAATGATTCATTACCATTGTCCGGATCCGCTGTTTCCGGGATGCACTCAGACGGCGCGGATGAGATGCTGATGGATGCAGAATTTGCGGAAAACAGCAAGAAACAACAATCCAGCCAACAGCATACACAACAACAGGTTCAGCAGCCTCAACTGCAACAGCAAGAAGCGTTGGAACGGCAGCAGCAACAACAACAACAGCAACTGCAGCAGCTGCAACTACAGCATGAGGAACAGCAGCAACTACAGCAGCAGCTAGAGAAACAGCAGCAATTACAGTTGCAACAGCAACAGTTGCAACAGCAGCAGCAGAGGCCACAGCAACAGCAGCAGCAGCAGCAACGGCAGCAACAGCTACAGCTACAGCAGCAACAACAACAACAACAACAACAGCTACAGCAACAACAACAGCAACAGCTGCAGCAACAACCGCATGATATACAAATGCAGCAGTCGCAACAGCCGCAACAGCAGCCACAGCTGCAGTCGCAACAGCCGCAACAGCAGCCACAGCAGCAGTCGCAACAGCAGCCACAGCAGCAGTCGCAACAGCAGCCACAGCAGCAGTCGCAACAGCAGCCACAGCAGCAGTCGCAGCAGCAGCCACAGCAGCAGTCGCAACAGCAGCCACAGCAGCAGCAACAGTCGCAATCACAGCTGCAGCCACATCAACAACAACAACATCAGGGTCAACATCAAGAAGGTGAGCAAAATTTGCTGTCGTCGCAGCAGTCTTCGGAGAGTCTTCGAGCTTCAGATCCAAACAATCCTGTTTATAATAACAGCAGTCTCAGATTGCTAAACCTCAGCGAGCTGCACCTCACTACATCTGACGGAATGTCACCCGCCCCTGGACTAACCAACCCTGGCTCCGGAAACAATTTATCTTCAAACACAGCTTCACAACAATGGCAGATGCAACAGCAGGCCATACAGCAGCAGATACAGCTGCAACACGTGCAGTTGCAGCAACAGCAGGTCTTACAGGAGCAGATGCAACAGAAGAAAAAGTTGTGGGAGCAGCAGATGCAGCATGAGCAGAAGCAGAAGGAGTTGGATGAGTTACAGAATCAATTGAACGAACAACAGGACAAGTTGAAACAGCAGCAGCATCGGCTCGAGGAGCAGAAGAAAAATTGGCAGAGGACTGTGAGTGCGAATTCGTCGAATGGAGATCTCAGAGACCCTTTGAATCCCCCATTGGATCGCAAACGGCCGCGCACGCCCAGTGGTGCATCCCTGGCTTTGTCGGAGAGTCAAAGCACCAGTAATCTCGGATTGGTCGGTGACGTGGGTAGTATGAAAATTCGGGGGCCTAATGCTCAAAATATGGACACGATTAGGGCCACTCTCAACAGCATGGATAGCAGCGGTTCTGCTTCGGATTTGCGAATCTTCGACTCAACAAGTAGTGGAGAACCTAGACCTGGAGCCGCACGTGATTTATCGGCGGCAGGCGATGGAGGCGGTCAGAAAACGGAGCTGCACCCGCGTGTTATTAAATCCGGGAGCGGAGGAACTAGCAATGGAGGTAGAAAGAATCAACGGAAAGAGTCTCCTATTCCATCGCTAGCCTCACACAGTTCGACCCCGATACTCCCCCATGGCTCGCTAGAGCGTACAATGGACGATCGAGTTATGTCCAGTGGGATGCCGAGACAACCGTCCAGCGTAAATTTACCCCAGGGGATTTCACCTCTGCAACAACAAAGTGGCCAGCTGATGCATCACCAATCAGGCCCTGTCACACCTGCCGCCGTAAGTGGAGGGTCCGGCCAGTTTGGGTTTGGCCAGTCGTTGACAAGCTTCTCGCCTATTACGCGCCACCAGACACTGCCACAGTCGAATCTAAGTACCGCTAATGCGGTCACCATGCCATCAATGTCGGGTCATTCACCTCAGCAGAGTTTGTCGGGCGGCATGCCTGCCTGGCAGCAGGGACAGGGGAAAGATGACGAGGTCGACAACTTTCTGCGGTCTCTGGTAGTAGTCAGCGAAAGTGTTCAACCGATGACACAGTCACATTCACAGGATGAGGCCACTCAGAAGCACGGTTCAGCAGGCGGTTCTGAAGCCCAGGCTCCTCAAAACCAGGCTCAAGCTCAGACCCAAGCTCAAGCCCAGAATCAAACACAAGCACTATCGCATGCCCAGGCACAAGCCCATACCCAAGCTCAAGCACAAGCACACGCCCAAGCTCAGATTCAGGGTCAGGGTCTGGGTCTGGGACAGGGACAAGGACAGGGACATGGGCAAGGCCAAGGTCAGGGTCAGGGTCAGGGCCATGGTCAGAGTCAGGGCCATGGTCAGAGTCAGGGCCATGGTCATGGCCATGGCCATGGTCATGGTCAGGGTCAGGGTCAGGGTCAGGGTCAGAGTCAGGGTCAGAGTCAGGGTCAGAGTCAGGGTCAGAGTCAGGGTCAGAGTCAGGGTCAGAGTCAGGGTCAGAGTCAGGGTCAGAGTCAGGGTCAGGGTCAGGGTCAGAGTCAGGGACAGGTACGTGGACATGGTCATGGACAGGGTCAGGGTCAGAGTCATGCGCCGACGCAGACCCACGTCCAGCTTCAAGCTCAGCATGCACAACAAGCACAGCATGCTCAACAGGCGCAAATGCAGCAGGCGCAACAGGCACAGCAAGCCCAAATGCAGCAGGCGCAACACGCACAGCAGGCACAGCAGACTCAGCAGGTTCAGCAGACTCAACAGGCTCAGCAGGCTCAACAGGCTCACATGACACAACAAGCACAACAAGCGCAACAGTCACACCACGCGCAGCAGGCTCAGCTGACCAGCCAAGCACACGCACAGGCGATGCACGCCCAACAGCAAGCTCAGCAAGCCCAGCTTTCACAGCAAGTTCAAAGGCCGCCGGGGATCCCGGCGCAACAACCTCAACCTCAAGCCACCGCGGCACCGCAGACTCAAGCTCAGATGAAGAAAGGGCATAAAGGGAGAGCAAAGGCCGCGAAAACGCAAACCAAAACACAATTGACGAAGACGAAGAAGCAAAATCAGGCACAGAATCAGGCCCAGGCGCAAGTCCAGGCGCAAGCTCAGGCTCAGGCCCAGGCGCAAGGCCAGGCTCAAGCACAAGCGGCCCAGGCCCAGGCTCATGCTCAGGCTCAGGCTCAGGCTCAGGCTCAGGCTCAGGCTCAGGCTCAGGCTCAGGCTCAGGCTCAGGCTCAGGCTCAGGCTCAGGCTCAGGCTCAGGCTCAGGCTCAGGCTCAGGCCAGCNGCCAGCTCAGGCTCAGGCCNCACGGACTACGACGGCGTACGACGGCCGTACGACGGCCTACGACGGTACC